GACAGGGATGAAGGATGGATGGGCTCAAGGACAGGGATGAAGGATGGGCTCAAGGACAGGGGTGAGGGATGGATGGGCTCAAGGACAGGGGTGAGGGATGGGCTCAAGGACAGGGGTGAGGGATGGATGGGCTCAAGGACAGGGGTGAAGGATGAGCTCACGGATGGGGTGAAGGATGGATGGGCTCAAGGACAGGGGTGAGGGATGGGCTCAAGGACAGGGGCTGCTTTTCATGCCCCAAATCCTGTGTTGCTTTCGCTCTAAGTCAAATCAGCATGGTATCACGCTCATGTTCTGGGAGGGGACAAGTAAGGACAGCACAGATTGTTATTTTGGGGGTCTTGGGTGAAATGTGGATGCAGGAACTAGCCAGAATCTTTCAGAACTCTCTTCTATGTGTGCAAGCTCAGAAGATACTTGATACCCAAACCATGAGGTCTTTTCTAGATGTTGAGGATACAATCTTTGCAGATAAAGTCCAGTTTTCTGAGGAAGATGGATTGGGAGAATGGAAAAGGAGCAGTATTTTTATCAATCTGTGCCAGCAGTGTCATAAAATGAGCCAACTGAGATCCAAACTCACTGAAATACAACCCAAACCCTAAGTTTACCCCTTCCCTTCCTCTCATCATATATACATGTGTGCTTTCAGTTCGGAAGCTGCCCTTTCCTGGTTTTTGTGGGGTTTGGATGGATTGTAGGGCCTTGCACATGGGAAGAGAACACTCACCGTGCTACCTCTCCAACTCTTAATTTCTTTTTTTTTTTTTTGAGAGGGGGGACAGGCATTTATTTCTAGTATATAATTTTTATGTTTTCAATTTAGTTTTAAAAAAATGACTTGACCTATTAGTATCAACACCAGCCCTGGGTTTTTTATTTTTCACTAGTCTATTAAAATTCAATAGAATTTTATTAAGGAAATCAGGGCCGAGGCATCTGGTTTTGAGATGATAGAAGCTCCAAGGAAACGAATTTGTCCAGAGCCAGGGCAGGCTCTGTGTTTCCCACCTACAGGTGGGCACAAGTGCTCTGCGGACCCAGGGAAATAGTAAATTTCCCCAGTCTCCTTCTGAAGCACTCATTCCTGCTCTCAAGGTCACCATTTTTAACTCTCCTTGGCGCTCTCAGGAAACTGGAAAGGCTGGAATCACAGGGCCATTACCCTGGTTGGGGTGGATGGGTAGGGGAGTGGGAGGGTGGTGAGTCCGGGATGGAGAGAGAACAGGGGTGGGGGAGGGGGACAATGATGTCAACTGTAGAATCTAGGGGCTGTTTGTGGGTAAGGTTGTGAGCATCTTCATCCTGAGGGACAGAAGTGTGGGAAGCAAAACTCTTGCCCACTCTACTACTGCATTATATGCGGTTACAATCGGAGTTCTGTTTGTAAGAACATACAATCTTTGGATAAGAAAGAATTGACACATATCTAAATAATCCTTCTCTCTCTCTCTCTCTCTCTCTCTCTCTCTCTCTCTCTCTCTCTCTCAGCAGGGTCTCACTATCTAGCCCAGGTTGGTCTGGAACTTGTTATTTTACCCCAGGATGGCCTCAAACTCAAAGCTGTGTCCTTGTCTCAGACTCCCAGAGTGTTGGGATAATGAGAGGCGTGCCATGCATAAGGGTCAAAGTCAGCCTATAAACCCCTCTTTCCTTGCCCAAGGACAAATTAACTGCCTGGAATGCTGGAAAATAACAAGCTACATTTTTTCCCTCCCCTAAACAAGTTTGTTTGACCCATCCGCAATGGATGTGATCAAGCTTGATCACACACGGGCAGGAGGTATGTAGGCAGGAAATATGTCAGGATATAAGCTTGCCCCTGATTGGACCTGATGGGAATTGTGGGTTTTTGCCTTTTTAAACCCCAGCAAAATCCCAGAGTGGACCAGGATGGATCAGAGTCCATCCTGGTCAGTATTTAATTAAAGGTTGCTTCAAATTTGGTTCAGAATTGTAGAACTGGTTTTTCTTTCCTGAATCTCAGGAAAACCACTTTCTACCAAAGACTGGAGATATAGCAACTGACTAAGGAGAGGTCATTCAGCTCCTATTCTTGTCCCTCTCTGTGTGATGCCAGCCAGACACCCCATCATCCAGGCCCTTGTTTATCTTCCTTCCTTTAATTAGTTTGGCATTTGGCTTGCCACCAGTGTTTGGGATGGTTTGGGGAAGATAGAGTGTCTAGAAGTACAAATCACTTCCTGAATAAGTGGCCTGGCCTCTCAGGATCCCCGAATCTCGTCCTTCATAGAATGTTTCCAGGGAGAAAAAGTCACTAATGAACATCTTTAGAATTATTTTTAATGGGTCTCTTCACCATCGTTAAGACTAAGTAGCCTTTTCTCAAGAGGGCACTGCAGGGGGCTGATTGAAAACACTCGAGGCAGATGGAGGGAGTGTTACATCCTGTGTACCATCAATTCATTAAACTTTCAACAGGACCCAAGAATAGTCCCAAGCTTATTATTCATGTGTGTGTGTTTTTTTTAAGAGGCCACTCATGTTTCAGAAGACCTGTGGGTCTTTACAGCATGGTGATATCTTCTGTTTAAAACGTAGCCCAAACCCAGCTGTATGAGTTTTCAATGTTTTTAAACATCTTCACTGAATGGATCAGTACTTTTTTGGTATTTTCCTGGCATTATGCAAGTTTCCTGATTCAATAATTCCAACTGGACTTAGCAGAAGACAGGCAGTAACAGAGGAACAAAGAAAGCTCATGGTGTCCTTTGGTCATAGCAAAGACAATGCTATTTTTAAGCTACCATTTTAAACATTTTTTGGCTTTTTTTTTAAACAAAATGGCCAGTAACTCATAATGTATAGCTCAGTCTGGCCTTGAACTTAATGCAATCTCAGCCTTCTGAATGCTCAGATTACAGGCATGAGCCATCATGCCCACATTGAACTACCTAACTTCTCTCTCTCTCTCTCTCTCTCTCTCTCTCTCTCTCCCTCTCTCTCTCTTTCTTTTTGAGACAGAGTCTCACTGTGTAGCTTTGGCTGACCTAGAACTCACTATGTAGACCAGGCTTTGAACTCAAAGAGACCTTCCTGCCTCTGCGTCCTAAATGCTGGGACTAAAATACCACTAAGTCTGACTTTTTTCTTTCTCTCTCTTTTCCTTCCTTCCTTCCTTTTTTTTTTTTTTCGAGACAGGGTTTCTCTGTGTATCCCTGACTGTCCTAGAACTCACTCTGTAGACCAGGCTGGCCTTGAACTTGACAGAGCTCCACCTGCCTCTGCCTCCCTAGTGTTGGGATAAAAGGCATGCACTATCACTACCCAGCTTCCTGGCAACTTTTTTATTTGATTGAATTCCTGATTTGCATAATGAGTTTCCAATGGTGTGGTACGGTTAAAATACACACAATCTATTTCTTTTTAAACTTTTTTTTTTTTTTTTTTTTTACTCATTCACTGTTATGTGCATGGGTGTTTTGTCTGTAGATATATCATGTGTGTTCCTGGTGCTCACAGATACCTGAAGAGGATGCTGGCTCCCTTGGGACTGGAATTACAGCTGAGCTGATCATTAGCCACAAGAAAGATGACAGGGAGTCTGAGCAGTCTGGGTCAAGAGGCTTCAAAGCCCTCCCGGCTATAGAAGCCAAGGGGTCAGAGTAGCGCCGCATGTGGGGAGCTGTCTTACCTTGCGAGTCAGCCTCCTCTTGATTTCACGCTTCTCTTCCTGCTCTTCTTGTTCATTCCGAGCTGAAAACATACGGCAGATGCTCCTGATTACAGTGCATGGTATCACCCACACCCAGGTGTAACCTCTGAGTTTTTCAGGCTCTAGACGAAGCACTTAGGTCCCATTCCCTGGCTATCCTTAGGCCTGATGGGACACACCCTTTCAAATTGGTAGATTTTTTTTTTTGCATTGTTATTCTCCTTATGTCGGGGTTTGGGGCCCAGGCAGGGATGCTGGGATAAGCCAAGTGATTATAAGCCAAGGAGGTGTGTTGGAGAAGTGTGGGAGCACTCCGGGCAGTGACAGACATTTTGGGGAGACTCAGGATGCCTTCCTTGAGAAAGGTACAAACCTCATGCCTCTTAGAGCCTCTAAGAGGCTGAAAGGGCTCATTGTGTGTGGCCCCAGTGACCAGAGCCCTGTAGTGTAGGAGAGAAGACATGCCTCCACCTGCTGCAGGAATGGCATGGGGCAGAGTCAACAGCAGCCAGAAAGACAGCTGGCACTGACTTCAGAGTTCTCACCTTGCACAAGCCCTGAGTTCATTAATTCTTTAAATCTCCGAAGAAGTACAAAGAACCCATGTGAGGAGGCCAGAGTGTGGAATATACGTGCTTGCATTTAGATTTGGAAGCAGTGTCTTAGGAATACACTCCAGAGACTAAACGTTCCTAAACTGATATATGAACAACGGACTCGACAGATTTTAAAGAGTAAGGGTCTGGGGGAAGGGATTAGGAAGAAGGGCAGAGAACTCGGGCATTTTCTCTGTCTGAACTAACAGAATGACCATGCACAGATTATCATTTACCTTCTGGGCCTTGGAAGGGCTCCTTGTTCTCTGAGGAAGCATATTCATGAACAAACCATCTGATTTGAAAAATACCATGAGCGCCAACTAGTGTCACAGAAGGCATAAGGTCCTCGGCCATTGGGGTGAGGAGAGCATCAGCAAAAGTAAACTATGGGTTGATGTGGGCACGGTGTCCTTTAAGTTTGCACAGGACACCTGTGTTCTCATTTTGTAATCGTGGTTGTCAAGTGACGTTTCTGCAACTTTACGATTCTGTTATCAGGCTCCATAATTATCATTCAGTTCGGGCTTCTAAAGGTCTCAGTACAGGGTAAGTCTTTCAGAGAAAGAAATCCCAGTGCATAGAAGTTGAGGTGGGGAGTATGTAATTAATAGTCTTGCTTTCCCCTCTTGCTACCCTAGAGGTCAGCAACAGTTATAGCCACCTGTGACTAAAGCTGGCGACAACTTTTTTTCTGGCAACAAATGGCATCAATTCAGAGCAGGACTAAGGGTCCTGAGTGACACTCCTGGGGTATGGTTTTGTGTCCCTGTCTGCCTGTGGGTTATCAGACCTTGTATGCACAGCACAGGAAATACCCTTTCCTTCTGTGGAATGGGCCACAGTGCCAGTATTTAACCATGAAGCCTCTTCTTTTGGATTTAATAACCCTATTTCCTTCCCAGAGTTTTCTTAAAACACATGCCCATTTCTCTTAGCTAAGACCCTCTAATAGCCATTGCTATCTTAGTATGAATTAACCTATCACAGATAAATTGGGAAGCAGATAGCATGACCCAGAAGAATGAAGACCGGAAGACTGATATTTCTTTAAAAAAAATGTAAATTACTGTGATAAAATCTGGGAAACTAGCCAGCCGTTAACATCTTAGTATAAATCAGTCTATCCAGACTCAATTTGGAGGTAGCTGTGACCCCAGGCAGCTAGCTATACTTCCAGGGGGAGGAAGGATAGAAGGAAGGTAGTCTTGCTGTCTGTCCTAGATATAGCTCAAGGGCACCATGGCGAAACTTAGAGACCCTGTAGGCTACCACTCTGGGTTTCCAAAAAGAAGTCACGAAAGCCCCAGGGAAAGAAGCCACCAGCCACACCTGACAAAGCTCACCACTCAAACGGTGCAGACCTCTGCTTTTTCCTGCTGCCACAATTTGCTTGAGGCTGGTCCTCCTTCCCATTACTGGGTCCGACCTCACTTCTGACCTACAGGCCCCTTCCGAGCCATGGGTGGGTGTTCTGTACCAGAGATGACACGGCACAGGGGCCTTCATCTCTAAAGTAGGTCCTAATGCCCTCAGAGGTGCGGGTCACAAACTGCCACCTATGGTGTCCATACCATTAGCTCAAAGCCATTTACAAACCCAGTGTCCTGAATTCTCAGGCAGAGGATGTCAAGGCAATCCCACTAGGCAACCGAGAAAAGAGGCCACAAAAGTCTGGTGACGTCATCGTCATGGTGCCCACTCCCCAGAGTTCATTGTGTGCTCAGATGCACATGGGGCCTCACTGGCTACTGAACAAAGGAAGGGCTTGCTTTACAAGGCTGGGCAGGGTGGGACTGCAGACCAAGCCCAGCTTCTGCCACCAACATCTCCCAGCTTCTCTCCCAGTTTAAAGCCCAGAAGATAAGTTTTAGAACTGATTATTTGGGAATGTTTTCAAAGACTGCTTGACATTTCTTATAGAATAATTAAGAAGGTCAGAGATGTGGTGACACAGGCAATTCCCAGCACCTGGAAGGTGGGAGGAGGGGGATTCAGGGGTTCAAAATCAGCCTTGGATATATACCAAGTTTAAAGCTAGCCTGGGCTACAGGAAACAAACAAAAAAAAAACTAGGAGAGAAAACCACCTCTCTCCCCAATAAAAACAAGACCAACCAAAAATTAGATTAAATAATAAACACAGAAAATAAATTTAGAAAGACAAAGGACCAACACACAGGGAAAGCAGGTCCATCTCGGAAAGGTTTGGAAACCAAGAGATGATCAATCCGCTTGAACTTGGTTAGGCAGAGGCTGAATTTGTAGCTATTTTACCAGGAAAAGGTAGAAGGCATTTGATAAAACACTGGAACAATCACATATTTCCCTTTAGTCTCCGTGGACTGGTTAGACTCAAGGAAGCAACAGTAACACAGAAAACTATCAAACAAAACCAAACACAAAACCAGCGCCAGGCACCTGGCTATACTGTTCTGGGTCAAGCAGAGGTGGGAGCCAGATGTGAGGTGGGGGATCCTCTCTCCTGAGCCTTGCTGCTGCTGTTGCTGAGGGAAACAGTATTTACAGAAACCTGGTGTGCAGCAGCGTGGTGCTTGGGTTGCTCAGGACAGCCGCAGCGGCGGAGTGGAGGAAGCTTTTATCTGATTTCTGATTTGTGGAATCAAGAGTTCCCTACTCTCCTTTCCAGTTCTCATCAACAATGGAAACTTTATAATGGACCAGACAACTGCATGGGGCAAAAAGGAAACATCCCAAGGGCCAAGACTTGCCCAACCACAGAGAATGCTGACAGTTCTATGCCATCTATTGTACAGCAGAATACTGTTAGAACCAGGGCCTTGCTATGCAGTCTAGGCCGACTAGAATTTACAGTCTGCCGGTTTAACATGGTCTTCGAGTGCTGGGATTACAGGTATGTGGCACCATATTCTGGCAAACTTAGAAACTTTGGAGGGTGCTCACTGGTTTAAAATTAAGTTAGGGCTGGTGAGATGGTTCAGTGCATACAGGCGTTTGTCACTGAGCCTGGTAGTCTGAGTTTGGTCCCCTGGACTCACTTGGTGGAGGGAGAGAATGACTCTGGAAAGTTGTCCTCTGACCTCCACATGAAAGCTATGACATACGCCCTCCCCACCAATCGGTTAAATGAACACAAGAGAAAATATTCTATACAGCCATCCCTAGGCACCTCACTGTTCTGAAAGGCTTACACCAGACCCAGGAAAACGGCCTGAGACCAGCTTGGGAAGGTAATGGTTGCCTTGGAGAAAGGATGCTGGACTCTGAGACAGGCAAGCAGCTGGGCACCTACAGGGGCTGCAGAGCCTGTCACAAGCTTCCCAGGCAAAATGGAACATCCTCCTGCAGCAAATCACTGAATGGTGGCCAGGTCACAAGACCATCGAGAGGAGGGGTAGAAAAGCGCAATCAGAAATGACTGAAGTGGAAATATCCAGTCGCCTAGAGCAAAGTCTCACGTGACGTGTGTGCGCACGTGTCTATAAGATACTTCCTAATATGTAATTCTTTTTTTTTTTGGAGAGAAATTAGAAGAGATTTTGGGGGCTAGGGAAAAAGAATCACATATTAAAATAAATATATTATTTGTTGGTTGAGGAAACTGTAGGTAAGGACTGCAGCAAGGGTCTGGTGGGTGTGGTTTGATTTACAGAAATTATCAAATATCTTTTGTTGAACGGAGGTATATTAGGTTGGTGGAATGCTACTTCCTTTCATCATTTTACATTCTTTAATTGATTTAGCACCAAGTGGATTCTCTGCACAAATTTAAATGCACTCTATGTCCTGAGCTGAACAAGGGGCCCATTTTTCCCTCTGTTCACAGCCAGCTTTCGGTGGATGAGAGCGTCATGCAAGTACTGCCCCTGGCTAGGCCAGACTCAGGAGGACAGGCTGAATGTTCACTCGGCAGGGCTTTCTCCCACTGCAGAGCTGGTTCTCAGGGGGCTGAGTTCCATCAGCTGCAGCCAACTGATTTCCAAGCCTCACACTCAGAATTCCCTGACACATACTAGCAACCAAAGCCCCAGTCACTGGTTTAAAGTCAGTTTGGGTGCAAGTGTGACATTGACCCTCCTTAAAGTCACCTTTTCCTGGTGAGTACCTCAGTTCGATTTTCAGCTTCTCTCTTAGCTCAGGGTAGGCTCTGGCTTCAGCCTGGGAGTTCCTAACCCATAACCCGGAGGTCAGTTGGGAGCTCGCCCCCAACTTTTCAGAAGAAACAACGTTGGTTTCTATGAGGCCTCCTGCAGGAGGTTTTCAGTGCCTCCATGGGCCCCAGGGAGAGACCTGGTAAGCCATTATACAGCCACCAGGAAGGCTGCCCTGAGTGTTTGGTCACCCTGGGCTCAGTCAACTTACGCTTCAGAATGTTCCTCTGTTCCAGTTCCTCTGCGGTGGGTCTCTGGCTCAGCCGCCTACGAAAAAAATCCAGGAAAATTTTTTGGACCATGTCATATCCTTCTGGGGTCGGTGATCTCCACGGCCCCAGCAGAAACATCAGGCAGAGTCAGCAGCTGGAGTCCTCTGTCCATCCTGTGCTCTGAGACACTGACTGGCTGCCAGAACCTCCTTGGTTCCTCAATTTCAAGCCCAGGAAGGGCACCCTGCGTCAGGTCACGCAAAGCTGCCCTCCCTCCCGCTTGCAGGCCCCTCCCCAGCCCTGCTCCTCCAGTGCCCCCAGGCCAGGAGACCGAAACTTAGCAGGGCCTTTCCTCCTCACAGAAGTCCCTTTCTTTCCTTGTAGCCTCTTGACGGCAGGGTTGTGTGGCCTCTTGCCTTTCCCTCTCTTGCCTCCAGGCTAGCGCTTGCTTCTTGCTACCTCTGTGCACACGGAGAGCACAGAGGCTTGTGGCCTGGAGGACATGCAAGAGAGGGTGTCTGTCTGCAGAGAACAATGGCTACTCTTCTTCCTGTCTCCACCCATCTCCACCAGAGCCTTATTAGACATAGAATGCCAGATGAACAGGCACAGAAATGGCTCTTATTACCGGGTGCATAATTAAGTCATAGAGAATGCAGCATCATAGCAGGGGCAGAAACTTCTAGTGGTGCCTTGTGGAGAAGGGGGGACAAACCGGGGGAAGAGGTAGTGACAGAGGTTACTCGAGAATGGGAATGGCTCACAAGGGGAGGACCACATACTTAGACACCTCCTCAAAGTTCCGGGGAGAGGGGCAGACATCACCTAGAGTGGACCTGATGGGGAACAGGGACACTTTTGTTTTCCAAGCTTTTGGCAGGTATTGAACAACCCTGCAATTATTCAGCATGTCTGCTGCACTCACTGGGTATTGATAAGGTGTGTGTAAGAGGAGGATTGTGGAAGAAACTCCAGGCTCCTCGGAGTCTTCCACTGGGACACAATGGGCAGAAAGGCACACATTTGTAATCGTCCAGCTGTGCTCACTCCCCAAATTTCTGAAACGGAGGTCTGTAGTTGGAGAGACGGTTACAGCTAGACCCAGGATGTGAGAAACTTGTCAGGATCAAGATGGAGTTGCTTTGGATCTTGCCCTAGCAACAAGTCAACCAATTAAATAAATCAAACCGGGTGCTATGGAGACTGCAAAAATTACAACTTCATACAAAGGTACCACAGATAAGGACGTCTGCTTAACTGTGCATTCAATGTTAGGCCGGGCAACCTTGCTGTTTATTCTTGCATTAGCCAAAGCTGCTTATTTTAAAGTATATTATTAATATATATTATATATCCTCACTTTTTCCTTTAAAATCTTTCCCCTCCCTCAATCTCCTCACACGCTCATAGCTTACCATGGCACCTATGTCTTCACTGCAATGTTCTGCTGGTCCCAAATAAATAGCATCATTGTCTGGGGGCTCTGATTGTTATTTAGGCTGACAAATGAAATACAAAGTCCATGGAAACTCCACATATAAGGATTTCAAATTCAAGTCTTGTTCTTTGTGAACTTGACAGCCCATTGAAGTGGCCGGAAACGGTATTCCAAAGTGCTTTCAAGTTTGTAGGGACAATTTCACATCTCTTACTCCCTCTGCTCTGGAAAGCATCTCTGTAACATGCTATGAAAGAGATATGGTCTCTGATCCTATTTTCTGTCAAGAAGTACCTGAACCCCTGGGACTTCGTACTAATGAAGACCTAAGTTCTCTGGATCTTTGATATTCCCAATGAATCCCTTTAGATCACTCCTAACTTGATGCTAATGACACAAGCCAGTGTGGGACGCCTAGGTAGCCTCTGGAGGGGACTGGCCACTAGAAAGGCCATGTGATTGGAGGACTGAAGCTCATGAAACTTAACAATGAGATCCAATGAGCTTCCAGGCTGCTGGAGTCCTGAAGGAACCCTCTGACCCTTCCCCCTACCCGTCCCTCCATCTAGCTGTCACCTAAATTCCATTTTCCTTCTCACTACAGACTGATCAACACAGGTATGGTGTTTCTGGGTTCTGTAAGCCACTCTTGCAAATTAATCAAATACACCAAGTAAACAAGATGCAATAAAAAATTGCCTATGGAGACAATATTTTACTTTTCAAGACTTACCTCAAACAAGAAGGTTAAAAATAATAGATGGATTGTAGTTACTCAGTCTAAAATGCTTGTCACCTTCGTGTTTAACGCTGTCAGTATTTCTCTGTCACCCCTAAACCTGAACAATGTACCTTATGAAGCCCCCTTACAGTTTCAGTTACAAATAGGAAATTCTTAAGGAGAAATAAGTAAACTAGTTCATATTTTTTATGCTTAATTTTTAAACTGTGCTTAATCTTTTTGATTAGCTGTAAATTCTTTTCTTTTTCTTTTTCTTTTTTTTTTTTTGGTTTTTCGAGACAGGGTTTCTCTGTAGCTTTGGAGTCTGTCCTGGAACTAGCTCTTGTAGACCAGGCTGGCCTCGAACTCAGAGATTCACCTGCCTCTGCCTCCTGAGTGCTGGGATTAAAGGTGTGCATCATTACCACTACCCAGCCAGATTGCAAATTTGTCCTGGCCAAAAATAATTTATTTATTTATTTATTTATTTTTTTTACCTTGCACCATCTCAGTATTAGCTACTAGTTCTCAGTCCAACATTTCCAGTCAGGTGGAAAGAAAGAATGCGAAGAAAAAAAAAGGAGACTGCAGAGGCAAGGTCTTTCCTCCCAAGACTGAAGTGACAGTGTTTCCTAATGCTACTACTATAATTAAATATCAGAGGTTGGGTATTTTATTAATGAAAAGAAGTTTACTTAGCTCACAGTTTCGGCGGCGGTAAGCACAGGTTGCGTGATTCTGTAGGGATGATGGGAATGTGTGTGGACAAGATCACATGCAGAATCAGGAAGCCAGAGAAATTTAAAGATCAGAAGCACTCTGTTTGAAGGAACTCAGTCTCATGGGACCCAATTAAGGTCCCAGGAGAACTGAAGTCCCTAAGCCTGGGTCCTACCTAAGCGTCTTTCACTAGGCTCCTGTTCTTAAAATCTCCACCACTACCCAACAGGGCCACATGGAGCTCCTAGCACACAAACCAACCTTCTGGGGACAGAGTCAGGTCATATCCACCCCACAGCAACGGGAGGCTGAGCAAACGGAGATGGCACCGGGGCGTCCGGGAGAAGTGCGAAATTCTATCTCCTTCCTCTATGGGTTGTTTCCATGAGGGCTGAGGCGTTTCTACCTGGTATTGGTCAACACTAACTCGCTAGACTCTAAGAGAGCAAGACAAACATAATTTACTCATTTAATAACTATTTTAACACAGATTCGTCCATCCTGATGTTGCCACACAATCCTTGATTTTATGCAACATGCCTGACTTCAGCTTCTGTTTATATGCTGAGGACCCCTCCTGTCACACTTCTGAGTTCCTGACATCTTCCAATTGTCTTCTCGTACTTGACAGCTCACCACATTTAAAGGGCACCTGGAAAATAATTCACTTACACTCTCTCTGGACAAACTGTTCTCCAAATAGCCTTACATCCAATCCCACTCAGGACCCAGGACCACTCCGAGCTTCACCTGCCATGGTCACCTTGTTTACTGTTGCTATGACTTGGATCTCAGGCTGGGTAGATTATACCAATGCTCACTTAGCTCACAGCTCTGGGGTATCATATCAGCAGGATGTGTCCAGCCTCTGGTGAGGACCTTCCTGCAGGGTCAAGGCATGTGTACAGGGAGGGCATCCCATGGTCAAACAGAGCAATCTGTTGCCTTCAGTCTTTATTTCTCTTCCTGTGAAGCCACTTATACCTTCATGGGAACTTCACTCTCGAGGCTTCATCTAATCTTAATCACGGTCCAAGGTGCTGTCTCCAAATGCCTCTAACATGACTTTGGGGCTTCAGTTTTGACATGAGTTTTGGAGGGGATGAATACCTGGATGGAAACAATAGCTGGTCTAACACCAATCCTTCACCTCCCATCTCTCTCTTTTCATCTCCCCACTGTGGGAAAGCAGCCCACCAGCATCTCTCCTGGTTGCACGAGGTGGTTCACTCTTCCTTAGCCCAGACATAATGGTTTCTGAACCCTAAGGAAGCAGATCTGATCACTCCATGCCTGACTGAAGGCCACACCTGCTTCCCCAGTGCCCAAGGGACAGCATTAGAATGAGGTCTGGGAGATATTCACGATCTGGCCACTGACCAGAATCCTCCCCTTCCCATCCTTCTGTATATCTACCCTCTTGGCTCTGTTCAGAACTCCAGAAGTTACAGCAACAACCTTCTTTCTTTTTCTCTTTGCCTATGTCATTAACAACGATCCCTAAAGTAGACCTTAAGTGGCACCACGTGTTCCCTGTCCTTCTGGCTAGGATGTCTCTATCATGTCCTGCACCTGCTGCTTGCGATTACTTCCCGTTACTGCCTGCCTTTTCCTCTGGACCCCAGAGTCTAACCTCTGTGCCAGGGGATGTATGTGCATTATTCACCTCTGTGCTGGCTTCCTAGGTAGAGGAGATGAGCTCCACAAGAGCACCCCCTGCCTTGCAGAGCCCTGGGCTTACCGTTTGATGCTTTGTGGCCACTTGAAACCTAAGGTACACACACATACATACATGAGTACATATACACTCTTATATTAGGTGCACAGAGCCAAATCCAGGGCCTCGTGGATGTTGATCATAAGCTAGAACACTGAGCTACCCCTCTACTTCATTTTACTTGTACATTTTCATTTATTTCTGAGTACAAGTATTTTGTCTGAAAGTGTGTGATCCATGTGCATACAGTGCCCAAGGAGGCCAGAAGAGGGCACCAGAAGCTCTGGATTGGAGTTAATAGGCACTAAGGAGCCATCATGTGGGTGCTAGGAACTGAACCAGGTTCTCTGCAAGGGCAGCCAGTGCTCTTAACTGCTGAGTCATCCCTTTAACTCTCCAGCCCCTCGTTTTAAAGTAAAGAACTTCTCAATATTTCTCATGGCGTCTGTAAAGCCTAAA